TGTGCGTTCAAATCCAGACATGCCACTTCAGTAGCCTGTTCCCCTTTGCACTCGACGGTGCTGTCCATGCCTGCCATGCTGGCGTTGTGCTCCATGGACACACATCCCGTTTCCATCTCTTTCCCATGAGCGTATTTATATTTGTAATTCCTGTCCTGGAGTGACCACCCTCCGATCTTGCGCGAAAGGCTGATTTGTTTATGCATACACCCAAGCCCTGGTTAGACTGTCTAGATGCTGTGGACATGACCTCTCCTTCCATTCTCATTGAGAGTCTTAAAAAAACCTGAGATGCCGGGTTCTCTCTTCAACTTTCCATATACATTTTTGGTACTTTATTTTTTCATTCTCTTTATGTTTTATTCATCATTTTGGCATTTTATAAACATCTTTACATTTTCAAGTCATGGAAGGTTGGATTAACTGGCAGAGCAGTTTTCTTGGGGGTAGAGCACATTGTTTCTTTATTTTTATTCACCCTCTTGGTGTCAAGCCTAGAATTGTCGTCAAATCTGATAGTGATTTCACAGATATTTATTTTAACTCTGAACAAAAGTGGGCTGACTGTGTGCTTCTCAAAGACAAGGACCATGCTCATCTGTGTGTCCACAGGGCCTGGCATAGTGTTACTAGAGTAAAAGAGTCTGTTCACCTGTACGCATCAAAGCCCAATTAAATTCGAACAGGAGTTTATAGCAAAGAAAGTGGAGGTTGATTAGTTGGGGAAATGGTGCTAAGCTTGGAATCACAGGTGAGCTAGTGCTAACCACTGGCTTCCAGGGGATGAGTTATATAGGGGAAATCATTAATCATGGTGGCTAACGGAGTTGGGGTCATGGGCTCTACTGATTGGTTGGGGCCAGGGTAGGGCATCAGATCCTGACGTCAAACATGGCATTGTTCTGTCTGCTTTCCTGAGGGAGTGGTTCACAGGGTCATGGGCCTGGGGCTGATGTTAACTGTAATTTGACCAAACTCTGTTTCTGTGGTCAAAAGACCTGAGGCTTTGTTCTTGCCACAGTTTGATACTGACCAGAATCTGATGTCCTAAGGAAGGGAGTGTGTGGAAAGAAAGGAGAAAGGGTCATGTTAAAAAAAAAAAAAAAATGGAGTTTCCTCATGGTTACTATCATAGTTTATCTACTGAATGACTTAGATGCACAAATTGAGACCTCCATGAACTATGTATGTGTGGCTTTGGAAACCAGAATTATTTTTATGAATTGGATTTATGTGGATTAAAAATTTATTCTTTATAAACTTAGAGTGTTGAGTATTTTTTAGTGGCTGCACTCAGGAGTTATAAAACATTACTAAATCCTACAATGTAGAACTACTTCTGAATTAATTTGTGTTTAAAAATATCATTTAATGCTAGATTATTGTGCCTATCACATTCTAGCTTTATTATGTTAAAATATTTTAGTAGTTTTTAATATTTTGCTGGCTATTTAATGCTATATCCTGGCTTAGCAGTAAGTAATATGAATTTAAAATAACTTGCCGGAGTCACAAGCATTGTTTTTTTGTTCTTATTTATTGGTGAAACTCCTTACCTAAAAGCTGATTGGGAGACAGAGGTATAAATAGAAAACATATACTTTGTTCGCCACTTATTTATTTAAGGTAAGAGATATCAGCCCCGACTTTGCATAGGAATCTTGGGAATATTCAGAAAAGATGGATGCTTGGACTCTGACCCAGATATTCTCTTTTAATTGTTCTGGGGAGGACCTTTAACACAACTGTGCATTTTATTGTGTATGTGTGTGTGTATTCAGTCTGACCAACAGTGTGAGGGTTTTTTTTTTTGGGGGGGGTGTGTGTGGCAGGGGGAGCTGTTTCTGCCACCAAAAGAGCTTTCCAAGTCAGTTCTGTTAGTCCAGCTCCCTGTTCTCTCCTTTCTGACTCCATCCTCACATTGAGTTCAGTGGGAGAGAACAGAAAGCACTCTTTCCCTCCTTTCCCCCCCACCTCTCCCTCTCCCAGAATCTGCCAACTTCATGGGGAAATAGGAAGACAGGGGGAGAGAGATCTTCTAATGTTTTTTTTTAAAAATATATTTTTATTGATTTTTTACAGAGAGGAAGGAAGAGAGATAGAGAGCTAGAAACGTCAATGAGAGAGAAACATCTACCAGCTGCCTTCTTGCACACCCCCTACCGGGGATGTGCCCGCAACCAATGTACATGCCCTTGACCGAAATCGAACCTGGGACCTTTCAGTACACAGACCGATGCTCTACCACTGAGCCAAACCGGCTTCGGCAGATCTTCTAATGTTTGAAGAAGAAAAAAAAAATAAAAAAGAAACTGAGCAAAATGTTTTAAGAGCACTTTCTCATCTATACTAATAATAGAGGAATATGCAAATTGTCCAGGACACTGTCAAAATAACAGTAATGACTGAGCCACGTGGGGCAACCAGGCCATCAGGGGGATTAGTGAGGGATGACTAAACGACTGAACAGCAGGCTGCATGGGGCAACGAGGCAAGTGGGAGTGTGGGGGCAGGTGGGGGCAACCAGGCCAATGGAGGGAGGCAGTTGGTTATGACTAGGCCGACAGAGGGGGCAGTTGGGGGTAACCAGGCCAGCAGAGGGAGGAAGTTGGGGGTGACCAGGCTGGCATGGGGGAAGTTAGGGATGATCAGGCAGGCAGGCAGGTGAATAGTTAGGAGCCAGTGGTCCCGGATTTTAAGAGGGATGTCTGACTGCCAGTTTAGGTCTGATCCCAGGCATTGGGCCTAAACCAGCAGCTGGACATTCCCCAAGGGGTCCTGGATTGGAGAGGGTGCAGGCTGGGTTGAGTGCACCCCTGCTCTGTGCATGAATTTCATGCACCGGGCCTCTAGTCTATAATAATAAAAGCATAATATGCTAATTAGACCAGACAGCCAAATGACCTTCTGGATGTAATTCCAGTGGCAGTAGCCACAGTGGCAGTAGTGAGGCAGAGGTGGTTAGGGGCGATTAGGGAGGCAGGCAAGTGGTTAGGTGTGATCAGGCAGTTGAGCAGAGGTGGTTAGGGGTGATCAGGCAGGCAGACGAGGTCCCGGATTGTGAGATGTCCCCCTTTAGAAAGGCCAGACTGCCCACCCCCTTGCATGAATTTTGTGCACTGGGCCTCTAGTTCAATATAAAAGCTCTGAGCACAGAATCAGGCAAACAGCTTGAAATAGGAAACATTATGACATTAAAAATTATTCTGCTTGTTATAGAGTTTCAGATTCTTAACAGCAGTCAGGAAGACAAGCTTTGAAAAGGGGTTATGCAATTTGGCAGAGGTGAGGTGTTCAATTAAAATGAAACATCCCCCCCCCCCCCCCCCCCCCCCCCCCCCGCCAGTAAATAGGTCTCTTCCTGTTTGGCTGGTGCCAGGAGTTATTTGAACTAAAGGATAACTACAACAGAATGACGAAGGATTGCTCTAATGGCAAACATTAAAAGGTGTGACCTATAACAGCCTGGGTGCAAGATCACCCAGACACAAAAAGGAACTGAGCAGGCTGTGTCGTTCAGTCAACATTTCCATCAGGGCATAGAGGCTCATCTGCCCCAGACAGGGAAGGAGGGCTCAAAGCCCTGGCCCCTCACTCGGCCATTGCTCAGTTTCTCTGCCTGGAAACCCGGGCTGGCACATCAAAGACATCAAGGTCCTAAGAGGTTCATCCCTGCCCTGGGTTTTTCAGGAAAAGGATATATGAAGTGCAGCACACACCAGGAGGCCTTCCGGAGTGCCTGAGACCGTGTGCAGGGTTGGCCAGCTTGGTTATTACTTAAGGAAAGTGATTTATTTACTGCCCAGTCCAAATTTAAGGTTATTATCATATCTTTTTAGGTTTGACTATGCCTTTCAATTTGCAAAAATTCACGTTGGAAGATTGAAAAATAAACTACCAACCTCTCATGAATTCACATTCATTGCTAGATAAAATATGAACCAGTACAACCATTTTAGAAAACACAGAGCCATAATCTAATAAATTACTGCGTGCTTATTCCAACAGATCTTGAATGTTAAAATTTTCATGTTTAGTTTAAGATTAGGCTTGTTTGAAGATGTGTCTTAATGTCTATGGAGTTAATAGCCCTAGGCTTTTTTTTTTTTTTTTTTTTTTTTAATATAAGCAAATAGTTATTTTGCATATTTTCATCGTAATGTTTATCATGGGCGACTTGGGTTCCAGACACTGGGTCATTGCCATAGAAATACAGATGCATGAATTCTATACAAACCAGGCATTTTAAACATACACAGATAAGTGAGATTTTGCCATTCGACTCCACAAACACCAAATGACTTCATTTTGCCAGATAGGATGCTGGATGTTAGGAATCAAAAGCTTCAAGGACCCCTTTACCTGTAAGATGATACAGTTAGGAAACAATCATGATATATAGAGCAGCAAATACCACAATGAAACCAAGACACTCAGATACACCAGGAGCTGGGGTGGCTTTGGCAACATTGAAATAATCCCACAGATCTAATGGATGGGTGAAGTTTAGGGAGCGGGGGGACCATGGTCTCCAGTTTTCTGGACGGGTGAAACCCATTTCTGCCCAGTTTCTCACCAGAGGACAAAGGGTGGAAACGGAGGCTGCTTTCCAGCGCTGGCTTCTGGGAGCCTGCCCTGCTGTGGTGGCACCATCTCCTAAAAGAAATAATTTGTTTGCTTCCAAAGTGTGGTCTGTTCCTAGCCCTGTTTTCCCTGGAAGACTTGGCTGCATGTGAGTGATAGGGGATGCGAATGTGCCCCATGGTGGTGGAAAGAACCCTGTATCAGCAATGAGGGGACCCAGCTCCAGCACCTACCGGCTACCTGACCTTGGACAGATGACCGAGCTCTCCACATCTGTAAAGGAGGTGCTTGGATTCGATGCTTACAGTGGTTCCTCCAACTCTGCCTTTCTTATTATGTCTAATGTGCGGTCTCTGATAAAATGTGTGAGGCAGAGTTTGGAAACAGGGACTAACATGGGTTTGTCTTCTTTTCAGTTACGCTTCCCAGAGAGACCCTCCTCCACCTGGCTGTGCGCTGGGGCCTGCCGAAGCTGTCCCAGTTCCTCGTGTGTCTCCCGGGGGGCATTCAGGCCTTGGCTTTACCCAATGAAGAGGGTGCCACACCAGTAGACTTAGCTTTAAATGGTGGGCACTTCACGCTGGCTGACAGCATCACAAAGTGAGTCTGGCTACTTGGTGGTTTCTCTTGTAATCTGTTTCTATAAGTTCTGCAAAGCATAATGGAAAAATTGAAATAACCAAACCACAAGCTAATATTGGTTTATGTTTTACCTTTATTTTTCATGCATAAAGTACATGCATAGATATACAGGTATATTTGGCATTAACACTTTATGGGGGAAAAAGAGGTAGGGAAAAAGTCTCAAAATCTCTATAGGCAGGTATACTTAATAATAATTAATAACATTAATTAATATCCCTTTATTTTTGGGGTTTCAGCTTACATATCACTTCTTCAGAAAGGCCTTTTGTGTTGTAGTCTTTTATGATTATTAATTCACAATAGTAATTATGACTAAAATTATTCACTGTAATTTAGAAATACATATATATATATATATGTATATATATATATATATATATATATATATATATATAGTGATCACCTGTTTCATATGACTCCTTCCTAAATCTGAGGGCTGAAACTATTTCTGTTTTACCCACTCCAGTGTTCAGCATATAACACTCACTGAAAGAATGTAAGTTTTTTTGAATCAATGACTTATAGACAAACCCTAAAACACTATAAAGTCAAGGGGTGGTTATCAGGATCTAGAAAAATAATTTATCAACTATAACATTGTCATTTTGATGATGATATCCACACTTTCAATGAATTATGAATATATCGTTACATGGTTCAGATTGGTCATTATTCTTAAGCTATGAAAAGAGGATTCATATATGGTAATTTTCTTCACTTAACATGTGGTTAAAAAAAATCCCTCAGGCAAATTGGAAAATATATTAAAAATTCCGAAGTGCTACAAAATATTAAATGTTGTCAGCATTATTATAGTATTAATGGACTTGTTTTTCTTGTTTGGCTCATAGAACTCAATGTAATTAATTTATGGTTGTATGATATATACATGGGTCTTTTAAAAATATATTTTTATTGATCTCAGGAAAAAGAGAGAGAGAGAGAGAGAGAGACATTGAGAGAGAGAGAGAGAGAGAGAGAGAGAGAGAGAGATTGAGAGAGAGAGAGAGAGAGAGAGAGAGAGAGAAACATCAATGATGAGAATCATTGATTGGCTGTCCCCTGCACCCCCTCACTGGGATCAAGCCCACAACCTGAGCACATGCCCTGACTGGGAATCGAACCATGACCTCCTGGTTCATAGGTCCATGCTCAACCCCTGAGCCACACCGGCTGGGCCATACATGGATCTTGGAGTGGAAGGCAGAGTTCTCTTTTTGTGTGTGTGCGTTTCCCCCCTCATTTGGTTAAATGATCACCAACCAAAGAAAGAACCATCCACAGAGAATTGCCCTTTTCTTTGCTCTACTGTGCCCCAGCAGGACGGCTTCCTTTGACTTAGTTCCATTGAGTTGCTAGAGGCGGACTTCTTCATCGTGTGGCTTTTATCTTTCTTCGGGGTCCAAGACCAGAAGATATTATGTGTTTTAAAGTTTACCCCTTTAATAAATCCATTTGTGGGTGGAATTAGAAGTAGACTGACTGTCAGCTAAATTTAGGTCTTCCATTTTCTAAATTAATCGCAGTGACCTGATTGCTCGGGCTCAGAGCCCATTGTCCATTTGTCTCCGTGGCTTGTCATTGGAATAGGAAGTTGTTTCCTGGATGATGCTGGAGTCCCTGCCAGTTATCAGTGCCAAGAGGTTAGGAGGATGCCCCCAACCTTAGAGCCCCAGTGCTCCTTATGGATCTCTTGTTGTCACTCCCTGTGATGGAGATAACGTCTATTGGATTGGAAGTACACTGCATTTCTGAAAGGCGCATGATCATGAACAGAATGAGGCCACGGAGAGGAAAGATGAAGATCACTAGTTCTGTGACACGGAACCTGGGAGCCAGCTGCTGGGGTGTGACATGCCGAGGGGAGTCTCTCGCATTTTCCTCCTCAGCACCCTGAGCTTTCTTTATTCTTTTCATCGCATGAGCTGATAAGCCATCCTGCATACTATGATACTACCCAGGAAGCCTACATGTAGCCAATAAATGTGGGACTGTTCTTAGCCAAAACAGAACAGAAAATAAGCAGATATTCAGGAATTTAGTTTGGGAATGTTGTTTCTTTGTTTATGGGAGTGTATTCAAGAGTGAAATATGATCCAATTTATGTTTTCATTTGTATGAGAAAATGACTTACAACAAGCAGACCAGTGTGTTTTGAATATCTCACTGTTTGTAACATCCAAACCTTGCCATGTTCCCTGGAGATCATATCTGTTTTCCACTGTAATCATCTAATAAACTGGCGGCTGCCTGCTAATTTGTTCTACTCGTAGCCCCATGAAAGGGAGAGGCATCTTTTCAGATTGAAAGGAGAATGAAATAGTGAGGTAAAATGAGTGCTGTTTCATTATTTGCATAAATCTTGAATGTATATAATATATGTAAATGGCTTTCCAATTGACATCTCCCCTAGGTGGGAAAAGAAAGACGGTTTTATTAGAACCTGTTTACACGATTTTGTGGACCTTATGTGCTTACTGTCAGCAGGTAGCTTTCGAGGGCCTTTTTGCCAGCTGGGTTTGCGATGTCGGGGCGGTGGGATGTGGAGGTGGGTGCTTCCAAAGCTGTGCGTGGGTTTTGATTTGTGACGTTCAGTCTGCAGGGCAGCCGCTCCCCAGGCTCCTCCCGGGTGCAGCTCAGCGAAGACGCCTTCCTGCAGTACATTCACGCTTCGGGAACACTGACCCTGACGCTTCACCACACGGCCGAGCATTTGCTGGAGGCAGACATTAAACTCTTCCGGAAATACTTTTGGGATAGAGCCTTTCTCAGCAAGGTTTGTGCCCTGTTATTCTAGCGTACAATTACCCCGCCTGCAGAGTGCGGGCAGCACTCATTGTTTGGGGAACAGCATTTTTCTAACAGGAGCTTGGGGGGCGGGGGAGAGGCAGGAAATTGGAAACTGTTACACAGTAGAATGAAGATTATTGTGTAATATTTCGGTAGTAGAAAATAGGAATTTATATAGTATTCTTGTTTCTTTTGCTTTTTATGAGCTCGCTCTGTCAATGGTGGACTTTAAAAACACTAACATTGGGTATTTTCTATTAATGTATTGCTTATGCTATAATTCTTATCTAAAGCAGTTGCATTTAGGGTAATTTTACTTGTGTATTATCTACTTGTGGGTGTTTTATGGCTTAGGTGTAGTGAAGCATTTGTCCCAGGGTGCAGGTTCTTCCTGAGAGGGGTCTCGTCACTTGAAACCAGTTCTTTTTCCGAGAAGTTTTCCCCTCCCACAGGGCCCACACACCAGCACTGAGTGCCATCATAGCCTGCCCCTCTCCGATTTAAGCTGTTTCATCTTCACTATTTTTATTTTTTGGGTGGAATCTGGAAGAATATAAAGAATATTTATGTCTCTTAATTATTATTAAGCAAAGTGTTCTTATGAGTAAAATGGCCGAGTTAGTCTGGTTGAGAGTGCTCAGGGCACAGGGTTCACCCACAGACCCCGTGACCCCGTGCTCGTAAGCACGTCCATTAATAAGGCTCGGGCTTTGTGGCGAATAGACTTTACGGAGCACACAGTTCCGGAGACTGATCTTGTTACTTATCACAGTACTGGCCAAACGTTTGCTTCATAAAATAAAAGAGTTAGCTCAAAACATTATCTCTAAAATACACATTATTATTGGCTTTTTCCATATCGGGTTTTATTTAATGAAACATGCTCTTCAGAGTATGAACTGCTTCCTTTTGTTGGATTTTTGGAAAGTTAGTGTTTATTTTTCTGGCATGTGCTGTTTCCTATTTTGTGGAAGGTTTGTCATTTAAAGACACTAAGCTTTCAGCCATCCCTGGGCTTCTCCCCTGGCCCCCGGCTGTGGCTGTCTCAGCCAGGGAGCTGCAGAGGTGCACTCTGCTCCATGAGGCCCTTCAGGGCGGAGCTCAGCAACATGTGTGTCTTCAGGTGGCAGCATGGCACCTGGTGACACACTCCTGAGAAGGATGGAGCAAGCTCCGTGTACAGCAAACATTGCTGAACTTTCTCTCCATTATAAAACCCTCCAACTTCTTAGTTTGGGTTTGTGATTTCTCATAACACATTTGAGCTAACGCTGATCATCTTGGGGAAGAGTTAGGAGGAGTAAATGTAGATGCTTTAATAGTCTTTCATAGTGGACTTTGCAATAACAAAGACCAGATGGAAATTGCTTTCCAGTTACTTGGAGATTTTCACTTCATGTAAAACACTGAGAAAGTTTGTTTATGACATAACGCTGATAAAAGAATGAGTTACAATGAAATGGCCTTTTGTTCCAGGTCTTAGCACTCCTCTTTTCCTTCCTACCCCCAGTGGTGTGGCTGGGTAGGGAGTGGGGAGACCTGGAGGGAGCAAGGCTGAGATTCTCTAGAACATCCAAAGGCATTAATTCTACCCTGCCCACCAAATTTTTTTATGAGATTATTGAATCTAAATTTTTTTGTGGCACGTACTTCTTACTTGATTAGATCTTGTTTTAAACGTGAGCAGGTGGTAATTGTTATATAGGTTATCTATGCCAAAGCTTTACACTTTGGGTAACAAATATGAAATTATGCATTGTTATAAGTATTCATGCTTTCTTAAGTTTTAGATTTCTAAAAGTCTATTTTTTAAATTGATTTTAGAGAGGAATAGAGAGATAGAGACATCTATGAGGGCACATCGATCAGCTGCCTCCTGCATCCCCGCCTCCGTTCCCCTGGCCAGGGATCTAGCCTGAAACCCAGGAATGTGCCCTGACTGGCAATCAAACTGGGGACCTCTTGATTCATGCATTGTTGCTCAACCATTGAGCCACACTGGCCAGGATAAAAGTCTATTTTTATATCTGACTGTATCTGAGGAACTAATTCATCCTTGGTGAACCACAGTATTGATGAGGAGGCAACTTCAGTCTCAGGGTTTGGGTATTGCACAGTTATCTGCAGCTTCCAGAACAACGGCAAAAGCTTGTTGCGGAAATCTGTTTGCTGTGCCACGCCCAAGAGCCATTCGGCTGACCCCACTCAGAGCCACACTTGTTCAGAGTTGTAAAGGATTCGTGTCCACACATCCTATTACAGCTGGCACCGGTGGGCTGGAAATTTGTAATGGATATTAAGCGTTAGACAATGACAAGTTGGTGCTACATATCCACACTGTGACGGGAAATATTAGAAAATTAAATACTAGGCAAAACCTTAGCTATGTCTTTTAATCCAGTTTTAGTTTGCTCCCTGTAGTGGCATTTTGTCCATCAGAATGCTGAGAAGTGATACACTTAAGGTCATGCCAAGGGGTTGCAGACATCTGAGTCTGTTGTAGGGTTGTCTAAGTTTGCCTATGTGTTTACTTTGGAACATGTGTTGATGCAGTCTTGGGTTGTTTTACCATTAATTCTGTTTTTCTTCACATTTTAACTGGCTGTGGGAAATCCATCTTAATAGAAAATACAGAGGGTTCCAAAGAGGGCAGCTTCTCTGTGAGGTTCACAAACTTAGTCTCAGCCAGGGACAACCTGCACCTGTGTGTGTCAGCTTGCAGCCCAAGCCCCATGCTCAGCCTTGTTGTCATGAGGGTTGTGGTCCTCTCCATCATCTGGGCCCTGGAGATCCCTGTGTTTTAGGGTGCAGATGGGGATTGGTCTAGGTGGGCAGATGTATAAAACAGTGGCCATTCTCTCTGGTTTCAAGATTTTCTGTTCTCTGTCCCCCTTTTTGATTCATGTATCACGTTCCTAGAGCCTTATTGTGACCTGAGGAAGCAGGAGAGGATTAGTTTCAGGGACCATTTTGGCCCAGGCCTCCAGGTTCCCTCTACATCTCTCACCGTCTTCCTGGGGTGCTGCCTGTCTCTCCCGACCTCCCAGACCAGGCCTCTGGGCTGTCCCTGCTCTGAGGTCCTTGAATGTGATTTTTATCTCTTAGTTGCAGATTTGAAGCCTCAATTGGTAACCAGTGATTTTCCCCCCTCTTGCTTCCTTAGACTCTTGAAGAGCAAGAAACCAGGCCAGAGGAAAGATCAGATATGCCTTCCAGTGCTGCAGAAACTGAAGAAGGTATGCATGCTCCCTCTCCACCCCCTTCCCCCACCCCGGGGAGCTCAGAAAGTGCACAAGACTAGCCAGCTCCCTGGGCTTGAAGTGCTCAGTGAAGAGGAGCCAGGACCAGGGAGATCAGAGGCAAGGCCAGGGTTGTGAGCTACAATGTGGCCTTGGGTCCTCTGACAGCATCCCATGAAATACACTGTTTTTCCACTTTCGTTTAACAGTTAGCACTACTGCCGGGACCGGTTTGGCTCAATGGATAGAGCGTCGGCTTGGGGACTGAAGGGCCCCGGGTTCGATTCCGGTCAAGTGCATGTACCTTGGTTGCGGGCACATCCCCAGTAGGGGGTGTGCAAGAGGCAGCTGATCGATGACTCTCTCTCATCGATGTTTCTAACTCTCTATCTCTCTCCCTTCCTCTCTGTATAAAAATCAATAAAATATATTTAAAAAACAAACAAACAAACCAGTTAGCACTACTGAGTGCTGTTTGCCAGGTCCCGGGCCAGGTTCTCTCACACCCCTGACCTTCAGGGCACTCTCCTGACACACCGATGATCCCCCTCACTTTCAAGTTCGGTTTGTTCATCCCATTCAGTCCTTCGCCACTCGCTTGTTTCATATTATGGAGCCTTTACTCTGTGCTGGGTGATGGGTCTTGAAGAAGATGGAGGTCGTGATGGTATCTTTGTTGTCACAAGGGCTGTGGGCAGCACCCCTGGCATGTAGAGGTAAGGGGCGGGGCTGCGGGATGTTGTGAGGGTACGGAGATAGAGACATCTGTGAGAGAGACACATCCTTGGCCCGGGATGTCCTGCCACATGGTTCACAGTCCTGAGGGACCTTCAGAGACTGAAGCTACAAATCTGCTCGAGGTGGGAGTCTTGGCAGGAGGTATAATTTTGGAACACATTGCCACTCCTCTTCTCCATGTCATAACTCATGGGATCATGTTGATGCTGCACTTGTGGGTAGCACCCAGCTCATTTGCCAGGATGTTGTACTTTCTTATTTTCTCCAACTAAGTTTACCTGGGCGAGCAGTCTCTACCTCAATTCAGGATCTTTCCTCTTTACATAGTACACACATGTGTCTGATCTTTACTGAGTCCTAGTAATAAACACAAGTTGTGATTCTAGGGAGCATTCTCACCTCTATCATTGAATATTCCCATACTTGTTGTATGGAATGGATTCTGACTTTTTTATTTATATATTTTTTATTTTATTTATTTTTTAATTTTCTAAAACAGTAGTTCCAAAAATCTGACTACATCACTATGTCTTCTAGGGTGGTCAGGGCAAAGATTTTATAGGTTGAAATACATATTATCTTTTATCAGTTTTCTTTTGCTTTATATATTAGAGTATTGTTTTTATTTTTTTAAATTATATGTGAGATAGGGTTATTATTTGGGCACATTATCTTGTAAATCCAGGATAGTTGGAGGGGGCATTGCAAACTATCTGTTCATGTGAAGGGGCAACGCATCGTCACTTCTCTTTTCCACGTCGTAACACATGGAATCCTACTGATGCCTCTCATGAGAGCCACCAGGCTAGATGCTGGGGTTGGGGAGAGAAAATACGACAAGATCCTTGTCCCTAAGCCACCAATTGTTGACTGCTGGTTTATACCTTTGGTTCTTCTTGTAATAAGCAACACAGAATAGTTACATTCCAGGTATTTGTCAGACAGTATAATCTTAAACTCTTTGATCCCATGTTCGGTAAAACTTCATCTTGGAGAAGGAAAGTGTGTGCAGACTGTTGGAGGCCTGTGTGGCCCGCCCACATTGCGCACACTCCTGGTTAAGCTCACCAGCTGAATTTCCTACCCAGCTGCACCCGTGTGGGCCCCGTGGAAGTGCCCCCCTCTTCTCTCCTGTGGGCGAGGTGCTGGTCACGCTGAGGGAGCCTGGCTTGCCCAAGGCGGTGGTGGGTAACTTCACACTTTCTTTGGGAGACCTAGAGGGGAAACCTCTTCTGGTCTCAGGTCAGGAATGCTGGCTTCTTCCGAGCGTTTGGCTGGCTTTACTGCTCTAACTGTAACGGATCAGGTTTCTTGCTCCTAGTTGGCTGATAAAAAGTTGGAGCTAAGTTTCTGGCCAGCCAGTTGCAAATGTGTAGGGTACTGCTAAGATGCATTTTCACATTTCTGTTATTTCTTAAGCCCTCACCCTTCTTTTTCCTTTGTGTTTTATTTTTAAGTCAACTTCTGACATTTATCAATAATTAATGTCTTTTGTGTTTTTATTCCCCTGTAATACACATTTGAACGAATTGAGAACAAAAATAAGGTCTAAATATGTACTTAAATTCTAAATTCTTGCCCTTACAGGGTGAACAATTTGGGATTGGGGCAGGAAAACAAGCTGTCCCAGCACATCATGATAAGTGCTACAGGAGTAAAGTGGCTCCAGCATTAGGAGAACTCTGAGGAGTGTGATGGATAGCTTCCTGGAGGAGGTGGCCTTGGAGCTGTGATCTAATAGAGGGAAGGGAATCTAGACCAGAGATATATATGCAACACAGAGTCCTGAGCCAGTTTATGCATGATGCATTTGGGGGAAGAGGGGGGCAGGTGCAGGTCGTTTTGAAGTCCTGGGGTATGGTGTGTGTGTGTGTGTGTGTGTGTGTGTGTGTGTGTGTGTGTGTGTGTGAGTGATATGCCAGGAATACAGGCTTGGGATAGAGGCAGGTCAGCAGGACTTGTAAAGGCAAAGAACTGGAAATCTACCCTGACAGGGAAGTTGTTTGAAGGAACCAAGATTAGATTATTATTTTAGAAAGGTCACTGTGAGAGTATAGATGGATCAGAGAGGCCAGAGAGCTGCTGAAAGTAATGCAGAAGAAGGTCAGCATCATAGCAGTGTAATGAGTTTGAAGAGGTGGGGACAGGTGGGTTCTGTCCTGAAGGTGTAGTATGTCACATGGGTGTCACAGTGAGGGAAAACAGCAATTCCTGGTTGGATAGGTCTTACAGGAAGCAGCATCATGACAAAAATGTACTCAGTTTTAGGTTGAGTTCGATGGGCCTAGTGAATGGACAAGTTAATACATACCTGGCTGTTAATACATCCCTAGCTGGACTGCAGTCACTCAACCGAAAAGAAAAGTAATTTGGACAGGTACTCAAGTCCTCTGACTTCAAACAATGTGTGCACTTCATAGACTCTTTAGACAATGCTTTTATCTGTATATGCTTGTTGGACATTAGAAACTGTATGTACATCCCAGCAGAGGGCAGGATTCAACTAAAGTGAAAATATTCAATTAGTTTTTTTTGTCCATTCATAACCCTGGAAATGATTCAACTGGAAGAATAAAACATTCTGAGCATAAGAGCTTGCTTTTTACCACCTTTAAACTTCAGAAGCAAACTTTCCCTTTGACATCTACTAAAATATATATTTTAAAAAATATTTTATTGATTTTTTTTACAGAGAGGAAGGGAGAGAGTAGAGAGTTAGAAACATTGATCAGCTGCCTCCTGCACACCCCCTACCAGGGATGTGCCTGCAACCAAGGTACATGCCCTTGACTGGAATCAAACCTGGGACCTTTCAGTCCGTAGGCTGACCCTCTATCCACTGAGCCAAACCAGTCAGGGCTAAAATATTCTTAATAGCTTATGTTTTTCTGTTTCTCCTGCCACAGTGGATAGAGAGGGATGCTCTAGCTTGTAGCTACCATTAATGAAAAGACTATAATAACTAGCCTAGAAATTTACTGCTCTGTTCCTGTTAGTGTGATACATGGTTTTATTACTGTCTCTGAACCAATTATGTTCCATAATTTCATGATTGTAACTGTACTTCCAGAATGATGGGAAGCTATTCCAAATGAATTAAATGGCCCAAAGGTCATCTTATTTTAATATGCTGGGATGAATAAGCTAATTATTATTAACACTAAATTTATTAGTATTTATTAATCTTCCAATTGACTCTGTTTTGTCCCTTGCATTTTTTTGGTCCTTATTTTATGTTTTACTATCCTACACTCGGATTCCCAAAGAGCATTATACAGAACACCAATTTTGGAAGATGTTCTGAAAAATAAGGATTCTTTGACCAGATAGGTAAAAAATTCTGTATATGAATCCTGTGTTGGAGATTGAGAATACATTTAATGTTTTGTAGATTCTAGTAAGTCTTGTCATCAAGAAGCTGGTGTAATCCTGTTTAACCTAGCAGTTCTCTAAATTGGTCATGAAAGAATCTCCTCTTCACAGTTCTCAGTATCTCATGGAAGTGGTCTGGGGAAGGTAGTTTAGGAATGTTGCTTCCTTACCTGTAGTGGTCCTGTCCTTTCTAGACCTTATTTCCTCCTTTTTTCATTGTCACGTGGGTTCTCTCCATCCATTTATATAGTGATGCTCACACTGACTGGGACTGGGGCAAGGGACTGATGACTCATGGTCATGCTGAGTTTCCAGAATCCCCCCCATGCCTCACCACACACTTTTCGTGTTGTTTGGGAAGCTATCATGCTTGGAGTCTAAGGGGCCTTAAAACAAAGAGAACCATTGCAATACCAATGACCATCTGTAAATCCATTTTCTTTCTTATTCTTTTGTAGTTTAAAAAACTCCTTGTGTGATTTGCTGTTTTAGCCTTTGTGTCATTAGTTTCACACTTTGTTGGCTTCTCCCCATTAACTATCTTCCACATTCTCATTAACAACAACAACAACAACAACAACACACACACACACACACACACACACACACACACACAACAGAGGGTTAGGATTGGAATATTAGTTCCAGGCACAAAGGAGAGAAGGTGAGGTCCTTCCTTCAGGGCTGAGGCAGCAGCTGTAGGCAGGCTCGGTGGGATTTCCTCCTCGTGACCCCCCGGGGAAGGTGGGCGAGGCCATGGACCCAGATGTAAGGCACAGACTGGCAGACACATGGGAGCCCTGTAGGCTCGTTTACTTGTCCATTCAATAACGTTCACTGCCCACATGTGCCAGGCAGTGTTCTAAGCACTGGTGATGTAACAGTAA